GGCCATAACCGCACCCTGCCTGGGCAAGAAAATGGGTTCCCATCCGGGAAAACCATCCTCGACGTTTTCGCCCTTCATCTTCAGACTGGAGCGTGCGGGAGGGGCCCCAGGGGCGGCCCAGGAACCCGAAGAGACCCCCGACCTGTCGCGTTTTTCGTTCATGTTTTTCACCGCCGCCGTCCCAGCAGGGGGGCGGCCCCCCGAAGAGGCCCCCCCCCGCTCGGTGGGTCCAGGACAGCGAGGACGAGGGCGTCGAGCCAGAACTAGACACAAACGAGGATCCGGCAGAGAGCCATGATCGTCACCAACGTCATCGTGGAGGTGGAGGTCCCGGGGGGGAATCCTCGGGACCCCAGGAGGAAACGTCCACTGGGTTTTGGGCAGGGATCAGCGGGGCCCTCGAGAGGCCCCTGAGATTCTTTTGCGGGGGCCTGCGGGGGGTCGCGCGGGCGTCGAGCGACGAGGCGGCCCCCAAGTGGGATATGTTGGCAGAAATGTTGGATTCCGGTGTTGGCGGGGAGCTGTAGGGTTCCGAGAGAACCAACTGTATTGAGGCATTTAGACAGAAGCCAATTTCCATCATCCCGTGCCGGCTTCAATCAGAAGGTTCACGAAGCAGAAGGGAAAGGAGAAAAGGGGGGGGGGGGGGGGGGCATAGGCAAGGGAGAACACGAAGGTTTCTGACTAATTCTCCCCGACCCCTCTGTTCCTGTAGGTGTGATGATCCTCATTTCGACCATGTCGAGTCAGAATCCCGGTACGCCTCCAGACGCAGAAATGCAGGATTTCAGCATACGGACCGGGGGGGATTCCTGCATCTCTCTCATTGCCATCCTGCGAGCCTGCGCAGGTGCCGCACGTAGCGCCGTGGCTTCACTGGCAGCGGGCCAGGTTTCTGACGTGCGCGGCAGATGAGCAAGCGACTCGCTGTGCGTACAACTACAAGCAGACACCTCGCAAGGTCATGGTATCGAGACGGGCGCGCGGCGATCGCCGTCGCTAGAGACGATTCGGCTGGATCATCTCGTTCTCGGTCTTTTGCCTGTCGTCCAGGAAGCCTCTGAGGCTGCAGACGCAAAGTGTAAGTGAATGCTGACAGGGGTCAGGTTGGACCATGTCCGTCAGGCCGCGCTGCCAGGACCGAGACAAGCGGCGAGATGGACAGGGGTTGCCGGAGCAAGCTCCGAGCTGGAAGGGACACGGGATGGTTCTTTCATCCGGTAACTGGTTTTAGCAGAGGCCTTGGAGACCCTGCTTTTCTGTCTGAACCCTGTTTTTGGCCGTACCTGTTTTCTGACACCTCGAGGCGCAACGCTACCGTTCGTCTAGTCCGGCCTGGGTGGTCCCAGCTGAGGCTTAGCGGAGGGTCTAGGTACATGTAGGTAAGCGGTATTGCAGATACGGTTCATGGACCCGGCAATTGTGTTCGAGTGGGGAGCCGGGGTGCGAGGGAGGGTGGTGAGCCGGCTGCTTGTGATGATTCATGACGACGATTGTCTTTGATCTTGCGGGTCACAATCCAGCCAGGAGGGATGGTAAATGCAACGTCGCTGCGGGGAGGGTCTAGAACTTGGATTCCTGATCTTTGCACTGCAACGAGCTTGCGGGTCTTGGCTTGACGCGGTTGGGGGCTGGTTCAGTTGGTATACATGTATATCGGACGGGATCGCCACCGAGGAAGCCCCCACCTCACGAAACAGAAACGGCGGCGGGTTGGGCACATGGCGGGCCTGGGAAGAAGATGCTCAGGCAATGACAAGACTGCTGGGCAGATGGAAACACTTGTGCGGCCTGAGCGCGCTTGGTCCGGCAAATATATCGAGTCCGGACCGGAAGTTTGCGTTGCTGCTCGTGAAGGTTCCCCGTTTCCGCAAAGAACTGTGATCCGAACTCAATGAGGGGAGACGCGCATCAGGTTTTGGGGGAAACGTGACCCTAAAGTGACGATGTCGAAGGGGGGGTAGCCACCCAGACGGAGACGGCAGAAACCATGCTTGAACGGCTAACCCACGACGGTACGACATCGTCTCGTTTTTGCAACCATGGGCACACCCAACGCATCGTTGTAGAACATAGTCTTCTCCCAGGTATTCTTCTTCATGTAAATTCTTTCGGTCTAGACTTCGAGACAGGGGCGGCCAAGCCGGGTCTATCCAGTCGATCAACAGAAGATAACCTTACCAAGCATTTGATCCCGATTGCTGGGTTCACAGTCACAGATCCTCGACTGGTGATCTTCTTGGGGATACCCGGGACTGGAACTGGGACGGGGACTGGAACTGGGGGACGTGCGTGGTAACGGAAGCTGTCAAGGAGGTTGTTCGGGGAGCCGGGGCGCGGTTCGAAAACGGTGGCTTTGGTGATCCTGTGGGTATGCCGTCCGCCGCCGCGGCCGTCATGACAGGTGATAGGCTGAGTAGTCGCAGGGACATGCGTGCCACTTCAAATGGGCTGTTTATCGAGTGGTGCCATGGAAATGGGGAGAGATGCTGCACCGGCCTTGTTTTGGGCCATTTCAAGTCTGCAAGCATGAGTTCTCAATCCGACGCTCCGAAAAGTTGGCAGTCGTCAGCCTGCGCAGGCGTGATGGAGTCAGTGGAGTTTGGTCATGCGGAGGGTTTTGTCTGTCTCGAAAATTTGCAGTGCTCACTCTTTGCTGAAGGTGACGATGGGTATGGAAGCATTTGAGAAGGCATGGCAAGTGAAGTTTTGTCTTCCTGACAGAGGAGAGCTGGCAGCTGCCCAGTCACGATGCCACTGCCGGGCACTGCCCTCGTGTCTCTGCCATTCGCACTCGCTCACAAGGCTGGCAACTCCACTTTTTCTGTTTACGTCATCTTGAACATCGAATTCTGCTGTGCCTCCAGTGACAGCTGCCTCCAGTGACAGCCTTGCCAATCGTGACAACGTCGGATCGATTCACAACAATCACCGCCACAGTTGCAACTGCGCTTCCCCTCACCCACCCACGCGCACCTCTCTTAACCGCCCACCATGTCCGAGCGAAAGGTTCTCACAAAGTATTTCCCCCCGGACTTCGATCCACGCGCCCTGACGCGCAAGCGTGGGCCCAAGTCCACGGGCGTCAAGACGCAGGCCGTCCGCATCGTACGTGACCACCCTCCGTTGCGGTTGCCCCTCTGATCGCAGCAAGCTGACCTCCGGGCGAACGAACAGATGGCCCCCTTTTCGATGAAGTGCACGACATGCGGCGAGTACATCTACAAGGGCCGCAAGTTCAACTCGCGCAAGGAGACGCCGCAGGGCGAGCGGTACCTCGGCATCCAGATCTTCTTCTTCTCGATCCGCTGCACGCGCTGCTCGGCCGAGATCATCTTCCGCACCGACCCCAAGATCAACGACTACACCATGGTCAAGGGCGCCGTGCGCAACATGGAGCCGTGGCGGAACCGCGCGGGCGAGGACGAGGGCGTCGAGGAGCGGCTCGACCGCCTCGAGCGCGAGGAGGCCGAGGCCGCGGGCGAGGAGGAGAAGAACGCCATGGAGGACCTCGAGGCCAAGAACGCCGACGCCCGCCGCGAGATGGCGGCCGCCGACGCCCTCGACGAGATTCGCCAGCGCAACGCCCGCATCCAGAGGAGCGAGAAGGAGGGCGTCGACTTTGCCGACTATGTCGTGCGGCCCGAGGACGAGGAGAGGGCGAGGCAGGAGAGGGAGGATGATGAGGCGGCGAGGCGCGCGTTTGCCGCGGCCAAGGAACGGTCTATGCTTGATCTGCTGGGAGAGGAGGTCATGGAGGATGTCGAGGAGGACGACGAAGAGCCCCACCCTTTGTCGAGGGCAACTGGGGGGGGCCTCCTCCTCCTCCTCCTCCTCGGGGGGAGCACCATCAGCATCATCATCTTCCTCCTCCTCATCAACAACACCAATGGCAGGGGCATGGGCACTGCTATAGCAGGGGAGACGGCGGTCGGGGCCGCAGCGGACGTGACGGCCATGCCCCCCGCCTCCGCCGCCGGGCCCCGTTCAAGAGGCCGCCGAAAAAAAAAAAGGGCGACTATGGCCGCGAAATTTGGGTATCAAAAAAAAAAGGGGGCGCGGGGGGGGGAGCCCAGCGTCATGGTCATCTGGCAGGTGGGGGCGGCCTTTGCGGGGGAAATGGAACGGGGGGCTGGGGCAGGCGGGGGAAAAAAGGGGGGGGGGGGGGGGGGCTACGGAGAAAAGGGGTTCGGGGGGGGGGCCAATCCTTCCCCCTTCCCCGAGGGGGGGCTGGAGGTTTTAGAGTGCCAGGAACCCCCGGGGCATGGATGG